TTTTTTTATATTGGAACTGTGTTTGACTTCGTCTTAGAGGAAATTTCTGTCGGTCCTTATAACTGCAAGCTTCTGATACTCTGGATTGTGTACATTTTTTTTTCTTAAAAATGGGTAGGCTCGGTTTCGCTGTTCTTTATGCTAATTTCATATTTTAGGCTGCAAAATCAAGGCGCTGCGAGCCAAAACTAACACCTATATCAAAACCCCTATTCGGGGAGAAGATCCAGTCTTTGTCGTCACAGGAAAAGCTGAGGATGTACTTGAAGCAAAAAGGGAAATTGAGTGTGCAGCTGAGCATTTTACGCAAATTCGAGCTAGCCGCCGTCATTCACACGGTAGGCGCGCTGCAGACATTAATGTCTTGACATGTTGTTGGCATTCATCAACGTTTAAAATTGCAGGTGGAGCACCCGCACCTGGCCATGTTACTCTATATGTTCGTGTTCCCCTCCGGGTTGTAGGACTTGTCGTAGGACCAAAAGGAGCAACAATCAAAAGAATTCAGCAGGATACTCACACCTACATAATAACACCAAGCCGTGAACGAGAACCAATATTTGAGGTGGTTTTCTTAGATAATTCTAAATTTGAAAAATCAGATCAAAATATCAAGTGTTGGTAATTCTAATTTAAAAATTAAAATCAAATTATTAAGTGCTTGTCGTATGTCTCGTAATTTTTCAGTATGCAACCATTAAAAAATTTACTTCTAGGATCTATTAAGTCATCCTTGCAACATAATATGTTTTATATAAAGCAAACACGTGATGCTAATAGTTTCCTTTTGTTAAGACGTCTCCTGTTATGATATTTTTCCATCTTTTTATAGCTCAATGTACTGTAAATATCTAAACGTTACGATATTAAACTAGCTTGTTATAGGTGACTGGATTACCACAGAATGTCGAAGCAGCTCGCAAAGAAATTGAACAGCACATCTACCAACGCACCGGTAATATGCCTATGACTGACCCAGATGCTTCTATTTCTCAATACTCCAGCTTGCAGGTAAGGAGGTATTCTGGCAGTTGAGAGAGTAGAATTTTTATGTGATACATTTTTTACATCGCAATATGCTCTATTTTCTCATTATATACTTCTTGTAGAATAATCTATCACTGGCCGCTTCGGCATCGGCTGCGGCTCGCTCGGCGTATGGCAGCTTGGCTCAGCCGCCGGTTCGTCGCACTATTGGCAATGAAAACTTACCAGACTATAGAGCTATGGATAGAAATGGATACAATGGACTTTCTGGTTTGGTGGGTTTTTTCGTTGCTTTTTTTCTCCATCTCCTCTATCTATTTTATTTTATTCTATTCAGCTGCGTGGTTATCCACAAACGACGAAAACAGCTTCGTATTCTGCCGGAGGCTCTCCGCCTGCTGTTTCGCCGTCATTCTTTGGATCCTCCTCATCAAGCACAACGTCAAATGCTTTCCAGCCTTGGTCGAATAATTTGTACACTGGACTCGGACTAAGCGAAGCTTCAGGTATAGCACAAAGGCACTTTTATTTGTTTACTCGTCGTTACCCAAGTTTGCATAATCGTGGATAGTTTCAGATTTGTTCTCTACTCGTTCTTCCGTCTTATCTGGAGCATCATTGTGGTCCTCTGGTTTCGGTTCAATGTCCTGTGGCCAACAGATTCCGTCGAACCAGCGTGATGAAGGGCTCGGAGATTCACCACCGAACAAGTGAGTCCCAGCTACTCGCATTCAAAAGATACCTCTAAATGAAGCTAAGAGGCATATGTTTTCCTTTGAAATAGAGAGTAACTTCGTAACTTATTTTTGATAAAGTGACTATATCCATATTTTGAATAATACAGGTTTTCAATGAAATTTTGCGAAGAACACAACTGTAGCCTAAAGCAAGCGGAGTTCCTCTTATTTTCTACGTATGAGGGTTTTTT